GTTTTTGCATTTTATTATTTTCTGGCTAAATATATGTACCTATAAACTATATATATATATATATATATTTGTGAGGTAATTTTAAGTATGGTATCCATACACTCAATGATTTAAGCTATTCATTTGCTTCAAACTTATGAAAATGGTAATAAAAATCAACATCCGCTCTCAAAAATAGGCACCCATTCTCAAGACTCACCTTACCGTTTTTTTTCTTGAAATAATCATTAAATGGTATCCGATTTTCTTTCTCCGTCGCAAGAGGATTTTTCACAAAATTAATTGGAGTTTATAAGGATATACAGTGAATTCGCGGTAACTCGAATTTGATAGGTCTGACGAAAAACTTCGACCTATCGGAAGTTCGACTTACCGTTAGTTTCGGTTTTGGACTTTCAAAATATTGTCGGATTATTTAATTAATGCTTATTAATTACAAATCTTCTGAATGCTTACAATAAAGATCATTTTTCTGACAAGCCATTTACGATAAGACTGTTTGAAGCACTTTATGATACCCTGGTCCATCGGCTGCAACTTTGCTGTTGTGTTTGGCGGTAGAAACTACAAGTTTACTGCTCTCAAATTAGGTAGATCACTATGCTCTGTGCATTTATCCATAAAGAGTATCACTTTTCTTTCTTTAGCGAAGAATTTCCGATCCAAATTTCTTACATAGTCTTCAAATAAAACTGATGTCATCCAAAACTTTTTGTTAGACTTGTAATCCAAAGGATATGTTTTTTCATTCTTGAAATATCGGGGATTTCGGTATTTTCCGATAACAAGTAAGGGCAATTTCTCTGTCCCAGACGCATTTCCTCCAACTAGAACAGTAAAACGTTCCTTGCTCATTATACCCCCTGAGCAGTTTTCATCCTTAAACATCATAGACTTATTTGGAAGACATTTGAAAAATAAACCCATTTCATCAATATTGAAAACATCATTTTAACTGTATCCTTGAAGTAAATTTGGTAACGTTTCATTTAACCATTGTTCACTTACTTCAAGAGGGACAGCTTTAGCTTCTCCATGAAGAGTGCGAAAGACATTGTGTGTGTGTTGCAAAGGAAGGAGCAAGATATCAGCTCCCAGGTTTTTTTTTTCTTGCTTTAAAAGATCCAAAAAAATCGAGTTAAAGGGAGTAAAATTCGAGTAGTCGAGAATAATTAAAACGAAATTGAAGATAAAAGGGTCGGGACCTCATAAAAAAAATCGAGTTATAGTAATATTCGAGTTATCGTACTTCGAGTTATAGCGAATTGACTGTAATTGCATATTTTGTACAATCTGGAGTCGGATCCAAATAATCCGTTCATATATAGACAAGTGAGATATGGTTTCAGGTGTAATTGTTTACACTGAAACGAATGAGATAAAATCAAAGTAGATGGGATTAATATAGTTTAAATAAATATTGAAGGTTTTATGTATCAACAGTACAATTTTTTGTTTATACATATTTACACGTCTGACAATGCTTTATAGACCAGCGAAGCACTGTTTCTCGTATATTTATTTTATGTGAAATCTAGTAAAATAAAATCTAAACCAATCAATATAACTTATAATTTGAAAGCTGTAAGAGTATTTATGCAAAGACGGATATATAAATTAAAAACTACGATCTTCATAGATATAAACAGGATTTTTTTAAAAAAACTCTTAGCTCTATTGACTTGATTTTGTTTTTATTTTACATATAGCACAAAAAATACACAAGAAACAATACTTCATAGGTCTAGATATTAATTTCCGATGCGTAAAAATGTTTAAGTCAATACAAAAAGCATAAATTAGAAGAAAAAAACTTAATTTTTGCGCATAAAATATTCATAACTTATAAACTTTTAGTCCTAGCCGGCCAGGTGGTCGAGCGGTAAAAATTCTAACAGCGAGGCCGATGAACGCGGGTTCGAATCCCGCTCGCAACATGGATGTCTATCTTCCTCTCTGTGCTTGTTTTCTTTCGCATGAATGTGGCCCACCTTATGAACGAGTATCTGTGGCAGTTTGGCTTGGATAATATCACTCGCTTTCGTGAATCAGGGTCGCAAGTTGACACCAGATAACGTTAAATGATCCTCCATGGCAATATCTATCCTAAATTTTGAACATTTTACTTTTGAATTTGGGAGTTATAACTTAAGAAGCATTTAAGAATAGCCATTAGGAAACATAAACCATACAATTGACTTCAAAAATAAGTACAAAATAAATTATCCAGAATTTATTAATTAGAGTTTATTTACTTTATTGTGTAAAGATCATGAATATTAAACACTTATTATCGGTAACAGTAATATACGTCGAAGTAGATCTGCACAATAGTCTACTGGCGATGGTCTAAGAAACATTCCTAAAGACGATCCGAAAACATACCATCACGAGTTTGGTCTTCTGCGGAGGGGGTGGCTATCCCGTTTTGGTAGCTCTACATCCTGCGCGGGAAGTCAAGCACTTTACGGTAGGGCAGAGGCGAACCAATTCCACGTATCCTTGGTCACTTCGCACACTGATCAAAGTGGTCAACCAACGGCTCTCTGACCGCTGCCAGTGATACTTGACTTCGGTGTTCTATTGGGAACCATGTCTTTACGATAAATCCACTTTAGGACCTACTTATTATAAATGAGTATTACTATTGAATGTGTCTTCCAAGTTATTTGTTGAATTACAAAGCAAATAAAGTGTCAACTATCTGGCCACTTCACTCGCACTTGCTGGAAGAAAATATTTTCTAGCTTTCAGTAGACTAGAAAATGCATCAAATAATAAAAATCAAAGTATACACGCAACAGTTATTGGAATGTCATTAGATGTGTACAAACTAATATAATAGAACAGCTTTGCTGATAAAAAGGTATAAAAATTCACGAAACTTTTTAACGTGTCTTTACGTTTGCCAAAAGTGTTTATCTCATATATTCTCATACAGATGTTAGTATAAATAAAGTTTAAAAAAATATTTTTTTGAAAGAACTTGAAAAGAGAAAATAGTTTTATTCTTCTCAGACCATAAGCGAAAAACCTTAGGCGCATTATTTCGTAAAGCGTGAAAGTGTTTCAAAAGTGACAGATGTTTGCAACAAAAGTTGATGATTTCCACATTTTTCGATTTGGTCTGACGAAAAGAAAATTATTCTCTTCCTCTAAATCTTCTTCAAAAACATAAATATTAAAAAATGTATTTCATTTTTATTATTTTTTATTTTTAATTATCTGCCTGTTTGTTTATTTATAGAAAATCATTGAAATATCTGCAGACAAATTTTTTTTCTTGCAGCATCAGGGAGCAATTGTACCTCGTGTTATCATCAGGTATAGAACTATATATCCTGTTACAAGTTAGGAAAAAACCATTATTCCTCTAAGAGGAGCCTGTTTGCATCTAAGTGCACGCCAAATGGATGCCAAGCTTCCAGCGCGAACGTATATCAACATCGCTAATTCTTAAATCGACGTTGTACAGGCTCCTTTTGCTTGTTTTATTTAGTGTGAAATGTGAAATCAAAACTTATTAAAAAAAAATTATTGTTCTTTTTCATGCAAAATTAGAGATTTGTATCCTATTTAATTTAAATTTTATTGGTATTATTTTTTAAAAAATGAATCAGAAAGTGCATTCGAAATAAAAAAAAATTGCTATTCTTTACGCACAAAACTTTTTTTGCAGACGATTTTTTCTTCTACAGCAAAACAAAAGTAAAAATTCTTTACCTCGCATGTGATTTGTTAAGGGCATGTCAGCCAAAAGAAATGCCATTTTCAGTGGTCCAATCAAATTCAATGCTCTTTCAACGTCATATGATTGTAACGTTTTAAAAAACCAATGTTCTCCTTATTATCGAAATATGTCGCCATGTCTACGATTCCAGAAAAACTACGAAACTATAACTTTTCTTTAATAATTCTATGATAGACATCGTAAGAGATAGCACGAATTAAATTTCTATATGACGTGGTTAACTTTTAAAAACTTTTATATTGTTTTGAAAGCATATTTCTATAATTTGGCAACGAAATAAAACGGAACTATATGCAGTCGCGGATGATTACTTAAATCCTTTACCGCAATGGTCTTTTCTTCACTTGCAATGTAATATAGCTTAAATTTAAGCCACTACACAGACTGGGCAGCGCAATAGTTTATTAATATAAGCAATGAATTAAAAATGACTGTATACGAGAGTTCTAAATATAACCTAGTTTGTATCTTTGTGGTGCTCTTTTCTAACTTGTGCGATTTGTTCTTCAACTGCAGAGCTTTTAAGCCGAACTTTGCAATAAACAAATAATTCAGCATTCAAAAATATTTTTGGAACGTTACATTTGTACACAAACGACATTACTTTTCTGTTAACCCACTTTCGACCAAAGGTGCTTAAACATATAATATAAATATTTTGTCTTGCCAATAAATATTTTTCATTAACAATGTGACGTATATTTTCCCCTAATTTTATTTTTTTGCTATTGTCAATGGCATTGAAGACCCTTATGAGATGTTACTAATTCAACTGGAGTACACGCTTTCTGTTGCGAAATTTTAAAACTACTCTAGTTTCTTAACTTGGGACTGTTGTAGACAAATTTGACATTTATGAAAACATATTATTATTCCATTTGAGATTAAACATATGTTTTTATGATGGATTAAAAATTGAAATTCTGCAAATAAAAATAAAGCAACATTTCTTAAAAGAAACGTGTTCAACGAAGTGGCTTGCCTATTGATTTCGTCAATGGTAATGGTGGATATAGGCACCTTCTTATTTCTTGCAAAAAGTCTTGCTTTTTATGCACGAAACTCTTTTTGTAAATTAATGAATGTAATTTACGCATATTTCAATGAAAATAAAACCACATTTTGTAAAATTTCTGTACTTGGCCCAAAATGGGTTAAGCATCACACGGATCACTTCGTTTTTGACTAAAATTAGAGTAAATACACTGAAGAGCCAAAAAAAAAACTGGTATACCTGCCTAATATCGTGTAGGGCCCCCGCGAGCATGCAGAAGTGCTGCAACACGATGTGGCATGGATTCGATCAATGTGTGAAGTAGTGCTGGAGATAATTGACACCATGAATCCTGCACGGCTGTCCATAAACCAGTGGGAGTAAGAGGGGGTGGGGATATCTTCTGAACATCACGTTACAAGGCATCCCAAATATGTTCAATAATGTTCATGTCTGGGGATTTTGGTGGATTTCCGATACTCACTATATTCTCGTGAAATGGTCGTACGTGAAAATCCAAATTTCATTGCTATCTTGGAGATGCTATGTCCCATCTCCCGTGCGCCGACTATAACACCACATTCAAACTCACTTAACTCTGTATAACCTGGCATTGTAGCAGCAGTATCTAATCTAAGAACTGTGCTAGACACTCGTTGTCTTATATACGCGTTGCCGATCGCAGCGGTGTACTTTGATTGGCTCCATACCCCTTTATTTGCGTACTCATGCCTGTACCAGTTTTTTTTGGCTCTTCAGTGTATTAATGAAACGGTTCTATTTTTGATATTTCACTATTTATAGCATTTTCAACTTCAATTTTATTTTGTTGTTAAAATATGCTATATTCCTTATATGGCTCTATTTTTGATATTTCACTATTCATAGCATTTTCAACTTCAATTTTATTTTGTTGTTAAAACATAATATGTTCCTTATATGCTCAGTAAATGCAAAATTAAATATAATCTCACCAAATGTTTCTTTTGCAGAAGCGTTTTGCCATCATCATATGAGTCATAGCAATCACATGCAGTTTGTATTTAATTTACATCGAAGCAGCTGACAATGAAACAAGTACAGATCATCCTATAGAGGCGCCTATATATGAAAGAAGTGAGGAACGTAGAAAAGAAGCTCTTCATTCCCACACAGTTACAATTTTTATTGATGCTTGGATTAGTTCAAACGTCGAGCAGAATTTCTTTCTCATTTGTTTACATCTCTGTCTTAACTTATACAGATTCGTTTGGATTTTTCACGAGAGACTGTTATGTTTTGTGAATTTGAAATTAAACTCCAGCAATTAAGAAATATTTATGATGCAACCTTTGTGATTGATGTTGTTGTTGTTTCTAAGGACGCTTGGACAAGCTAAGATCGCCAGCCACTGATCTTTTGCGAATTAAGTCAGGAAGATATATATGCCTCTTGTTTTACAAGAGAGCACCACGTGGGTGAAAGTGCGTCTTAGTTCAGGGTCCCACGAATAGATGGCAGCACTACTCCTTCATGATACCACTTCTTTCATTTAGGGTAATGACATCTGAAGGGTAATGACATTTTCTCCAGATTCCTGTACCTATGATCTCAACGGCCGACCACAGGGTTTTCAAGTTCACAGATTTTACGAGCACGCTTATCGCACGCACTCGGTGGGTCTTAGCGGAGTCAAAGATGTAACCCCGGCTGTCCCGAACCGAAGTCTAATTCTCTAACCACTGGGCTACCAAGGCTCTTTTGTGATTGGTGTATTTTAAATGTGTATAAATTGTATGAAATTTTTTTTTTCAAAATAGTTATGCTTTATTAACTAAAATACTATTTATGTATGCTTGGCTTTTTATTAAACCAAAAAAAAAGCCAAAAAAATTTCAAATTAAAGAGGTTGATGCTGTACAGTGATCAGCTAGGCCATACTTTTCAAAAGTGGCATTTTTACATCAAGTGGTTGCGTAGTATTTTTTCCAGACAACAAGTTCGCTTAATTTTCATTAGATAATTGCATAATACACACAGACATACTGTTAACTAGCAGAAAATTGAGATGTTTTTTTATTAATTTTTTTTATTTATTAAAAATGGTATAAAATAAGTTCGGATAAAAAATAAGTAAATAAAATAAATAAATAAATGCCTCATAGAATAAGAAGCTTGTATAAATAATATGCTCCACAAAATTTTTTTTAATTCAATCACTAGTCAATTCATTTAATAAAAGTGCTTAAAGTTTCTATAAAATTGCCTCATCAACTTTGGGAAAACACTATTTTTGCTCCAGAATGGTCTAGCCTTATGAAAGGAGCTACAATTAGTTTCTTAATTAGGCTGTTTAGCTAACTGAATTTTGAAAAATATTCTTAAAATATCTCATAACATATAGTATAATTAAAAAAAAGGAATATTATTTCAAACATTTAAGCCTTGCACCCAATTATAACATAAAATATAATACCTGATCCGATTTTAGCGATTTTTTTTCTGCATCCCTAGCAATAGTTTTCATAGTTTGAGTGTAATACCGATCCTATTTTTAATGCAAAGCCAGATTCTGTTACAGATCAAAACACAAGTAAACTATTCTTAAACGTGCGACAAAAAAGGTTTAAACAATTAAAAATTCGAGGATTACATTTTAAATTTTTGTTGAGGTTAGGTTTGATAATTTATTTAAATAAAAAAAATTACAGAGAATGTTCACTGCTTTTTTTTAACCAATGTTTTCTTTAAAATATTTCTTTCAATAAAAAACACATAGGAAATAGAGAAGCCTGATACTTAATTTTTTATTCGAAATAAAACTTAAAAAATAAAAAACTATAAAATATAAAAGGAAAAATAAATGAATTCACAAAAACGCTATTCTTTAAATCTCGTAATTTTAATATAATTTTATAAAATGTCGTTGTTTAGAGTAAAGAAATCTCATAAAATTTCTAAGAGTTTAATTTTTCCAATCACATGTTAGAAATGGCTAACTGTGCTGTTTCCTTTTTCAGATAACTACTAAATAGGTTTTTAAGACCATTTTTTGTTCCTATTTTTATGGTGCTCACTTTAAAACTATATCTTTTCTAAATTTTGAAAGTTTTACTTTTGAATTTGAGAGTTACAACTTAGGAATCATTTGAGAACCTTGAAGAAACATAATCCATACAATTGACTTTAAAAATGAATACAAAATGAATGATCGAAAAATTGTTCTAATTGTCATTTCGTTCTAATTCTAATTGTTTCGAAAAATTAACTATGTTATCTCGGAGAAATGGTGTATCCTAAGTTTCCATTTATTTTTAAAAAAACCAACTCACCTGTTTGAAACTATGTCCTATTCATGATGGTTTTTCGAAGATTTTGGTCAAGGAAAATAAAAATAAAAAAACCACAGTTTAAGCGCCTTAAGCCTTAAAGCAAAATTATAATTTTAAACTATAGATACCATCTCGGCGTGAAGAATCACCTAGGACTTTAGAACGGATAAATAACTTAATTTTATAAAAAGTTATTAAGCTTTTTTTACAAACGCCAATTTGGTTACCTTTTTTTTTCTTCTCAGTTTTTACAAATTTTTATGTACCCAGATAATGCTGCATTGGAGTAACTTTTTAAATATTAAAAATTTAGACCACAAACGCATTTTATTCTTACAAAAACTGTCGCTTTTCTCTATATTGACGTTTTGCGCCATTTCAACATAAGAAACATAGAAAGCGCTGGTTAAGGATAGCTATTACAAACTCCCAGCAGTTATGAAAATAACATATTATTCGCAGAAAAAAATGCATTATTTCATATGACAAAGGAGCCTTTGAAAAACAGCTTTAAGGCCACTTTTCCTTCGACCGAATTCATCGGTTAAAAGTTAAGATACGAAGGAGGAAATATAAATTTACTTGCAAACTATCTTTATACAATTTTCATAAATATAGTGATACTTGATATTTTCTTTACTCGACATTATCTTTTAAAACAAGTAAAATGCGAGATCATCACAAGATTAGAATGAGAAAAACATAGCACGCGCCCTGTAAAAAAATATTTTCTCGAATTTGGGCAAAAATATGTCAAAATAACTAATAATAGTCAAGTTTGAAAACCTCTTGTATTCAAATTTGAAACGGCATATCCTCATCTTTGAGCAATATGCATGCTCACAAAAGTGATGTGGAAGGAGAATTGTGTGAGATGTTTGCTGGCTAACTGCAGGATTCGAATCAGGGTCCATAGTTGTTGTACACCCCAGTCCAGGAAAATTATATATATTGCTTCTGCAATGACGCAGCATGACGTGCTAGTTTCCGATTTCAAAGGTATAAAGATAAAGTGTTGCAATCTGGAAAATATGGTCCCAATAGCTTAGTCAGAAAATCGGTAATTTTAATTTCACATTTTGCATATTTCGTTATCTTAAAAAAATTTAAGTGAATGGAATGTATGATGTCATGATGCGTCATGATATGTCATGATGTGTCATGGTATAACGGTGGTTAGAGCATCCTGTTACGAAGCCGGATGTCTTTGGTTTGAATCTTAGCGGTTGCCAACGAACATCTCTTCCTTTACATTACTTCTGAGACCATGCATTTTGCTCAAAAATTAGTACATTCCATATAAATTTTTTTATACTTAAGGTTTTCACATGCTTCTATATTTGCTTCAGAGCTATTTTAACACATTTTTTTATCACTTTTGAAAAACCATATTTTGCAGTGTATTAATCAAATATTTTAATTAATTTTTTTCTGAAAAAGTTATCCAAACGAAATTCTGTTAGTATTTATTGAAAGGTTGTGTATTATAATTAGTCTGTTTTTACATGTTTGATGTATATTTTTGTCTTTAGAAAATTTAAGTTTAAAAAAAAATGAATTAAATAAAACTAAATTTAAAAAAATTCAAATTAAAAAAAAATTAATTAAAAGTTTTAATAGTATTAAACACTACTAGTGGGCTGCGTCCCCTGCTCGCTAACGCTCGCCAACCCCCGAAAATTGCTACCTACGCAATCTTATATGGTTTGCTTCGCAAACCTAGCTCGCTTAGCTCGCTACTAACTTAGATACATTGCAAATGCACAAAGTTCTAAGAATTCAAAACAATCATTCAAATCCATATAACAACTTTAAAAAAGAAAAAATACATCTTTTTAGTAAATACTAAGTCATTAAAATAAATTTGAATTCAAATAAATGACATGTAATTCGTTAAACCTATTAGAAATGTGCTATAGTATAAAATCTTAAAGCGTAACAGCACAACTGAGACTCATTTTTCAATGAATAACTAATAACAATAATAAAACAAATAAATTCGTGATATAAATCAAAAATCGTCAAATAAATTCGTAAGTATATAAATTCGAGAAAAAAAGCGCCTTCGACAAAATACTAAAATAGAGATTTATCGACAAAGACTACTCACTTCTGCCTAGCTTAAGGTTATTTCAGTTTCCGTTTTTAAAAGTTCCGTTATATGTTGAGCCACCTCAGCTAGATTTGGCATGTGACATTTTTAGCGGCAATCATTGGTTGACTTTCTAGCGTTGCCGTTCGGGGAGTTGCAATGAGGCTTTTTTTGTCGCCGTGTAAGAGAAATATATATATAGATTTTTTCATAATCTGATCAAGCAACGCCTTTATTTTCGATCTTTTTGGTAGGTGCGCTGCTGAATGATATTCTACAATCAAAATTTAGTTAAAAACAAAAAAGCATCGAAAACCAAAATTCAAAAATTTAATTAAACAAAAATCTAAGATGCTGTAAAAAAAAAGAGTAAAACCATCTTTCTTTTGAGACTCTCTTTTAAAAGCTGCGACGTCACAAAACGCTGGGAAAAGCAAAAAAAGATCACTTTTGCGACCCCAAACAGAATTAAGTATTACTTTAAATAATAGAGTCTGCCCTTTATTAACTAAAATTGCAAGTTCCTAATTTCGTTTTCCCTCCTTAATAATGTTTAACGCCTTTTTATATATTTTGTACCGTTTACCGCAACTTTTTTATTAAAATTATTTTTTGTTGTTGTTGTTGCAGTTTTTCAATTGATGCTCCACTTATTTGCAGTCCTATTCAATTTGAATTTGAACTTTATTTTAAATATTCATCATAAGTAGATTTAAACTAACATCAGATTTATGGCGCCACAAATAAATATGCATTAGCGATTTATCACCCAAAATATAATGAGTTTGACGACTGAAATTTGAGAGATTAGGATTGAAGAACTAGGTTTTTACAATTATTCTGCAAAACAGTTCATAAATATACGAGTACTGCATTTTGAATTTATCAGTCGATTGGATTTCTGTATTTTTTGTAAAATCCGCGATATTGAAGAATGATGATTTCAATTGGAGAGAAGGTCTTTTCACAGTTAAAGCCTCTTAGCAATTGAGTAAAAATCGTAGAAACCTTCCGGCTCATAAGAATTTTTTTATGTGTTGATTTATTTTTCAATGTATCATTTTCTTAAAATTAGTTCTGGTTTGTCTTACACATTATTAAAAATAAAATATTTTTTAAATTTTTAGCAAGCGTAAGATTCAAAAAAGTATAAAAAATTACTTATGTAAAAAATCTAATCAAAAACTTGTTATAAAGAAATATTTAATTAATGTTTTCATATACACGACACATGTCTACACATACGATGCTTGGCTGAATATTATTAAAAATATGGGTATGTATATTTCATGGGGGCAAATCATGAAGTTTTGGGAACCTTTATTTGCACTACTACGCCCTCAAGAAGGGAAATTTTTGTTGCGTTATGAAATAATTCATGCATACAGTTTTCCGAGGCAACGATAGCCTTCAAAGTGTGCTTTTAGCGTCGTATAAATTTTTATTGCCTCATAAAATAGTTCATGGATGTTAAGTGTTCCGCAACGACCACTCTTTCTACGCATTTTTAGCATCTTCATAAATTTTTGTTGCCTCATAAAATAATCCATGATTTCAGTGATCCATCGCAATAATAATTATTAAAGTGTGCTTTTAGCATCGTTTAAAATTTGTTGATTCATAAAATCATTCATGGATGTCGGGTGTTCCGCAGCTACCACTCTTACTACGTATTTTTAGCATCTTTATAAATTTTTGTTGCCTCATAAAGTATGCATTCAAAAAAAATATTCTATTTACATCGACACCATATGTTTTTCCCCCCTCAATAAGTTGTTTTTCTCATCTTCGTGAAATATATATATATATATATATATATAT